AAAAAATTGGCGCTAAAACCCGCGTGGTACCCGCGTACGGGCTCGCCAAAGTTTTTTTGGGGTCGGTTCATAACTCGAGGATCTGAAAAGCTAGAAGACTGAAATCTTGGAGTAATGTTCCCCGCCCAAGCGGGTATTAGTGGGCTCAAACCCCGACCCCGGGTAAGCATGGTTCCCCCGTACGAGCCCGCCAAAACTTTTTTCGGGTAAGTTCATAACTCGGGGTTTTGAGATGCTAGAAAGCTGAAATTTTGGGGGAATGTTCCCCGTCCAAGCAGGTGCTAATCAGCTCAAATCCAGTCCCCGGGTAAGCGTGGTACCCGCGCACAGGCCCCCCAAAATTTTTGCCGCGTAAATTAATAACTCGAGGTTCTGAGAAGCTAGACAGCTGGAATCTTATGGAGGTGTTTCCTGTCTAAGTGGGTATTAACGAGTTCAAGCCCTGCCCGCGGGTAAGCGTGGTACCTGCGTACAGGCCCGTGAAAAGCTCCTTCCGAGTAAGTTAATTACTCGAGAACGTGAGAAGCTAGAAGATTGGAATTTTGAGGGGATTTTTTCCTTGACAGTTGTGGCGGCCAGTCTGAAACTCAGCTAGAAGCATCTGCCGAAAAACCGATGCCGCTAGCGACAAAAAAGTGCGGGGAACTCTGCAAAAAACGCATCTTCGTACGGACAGCCCGTGCGTTGGCCATTTATTTCTGATTGCAATAGTGACCTAATGAGGGAAATAACCTAATACTTTTTAGGGCTTCAAGAATCATGTTTAGTGAGAATTAAAATGCTTCAACATGTGGGGTAGATCTATGTCATGCTCTTCTTCTCTAACTTCTTTATCTAATTAGTCGTGCATGTGTGTTTGGTCAACGCATGTGCGCGACTTCTTCAGTGGCGACTCAAGTGGTCATTTGCTCCCTTTTGAGTACTATTTGCTAAAGTAGCCATTTATAAATAAAGTTAGCAACATGTTCAACCCAATGAATCTTGCCTTCTCGCGTACTAGTTCGCATGAAAAAGAGTGCCTGCTTATTCGGTAACGGCGACATTTTTTTGTGAAAAATAAGATACAGCATTTTTTGTTTCGTTGTAGTCAACGCTCGCTCTTCTGTTTTCGCCCATGTCCGCGAGTTGCATCCGTACAGTGCAGTTTTCAGCACGGTAATATGAAGAGGTGGACAAAGTCTTTTCTGTTTTGAGGTTTGAAACTTTAACCTCATAAATTCAAAAATTCTTATTTCGAAGTAAGACATTTTGCAGACTTATGGGTTGAAAGATGGTCATGGCTTAGAAGTATGGTATTTCCAAAAATTACTCAAACTTCTTCACAGTCTACCGTCTGGCGCTAGTAAAAAATATCTTGTATGGCAGGTAAGAACATTTGTATAAATTTGTAACTGATTACGAAAGTGTTTATGACACATTTTAAAAAAGTCAAAAAGCGTGGAATATTACAATGGATTTTTATAGGAGGCCATAGAAGAAACAGAGCAAACAAAAGAAAAAATCGTGGATAACGGTCTGGTAGCACATATCTGGAAAAGTAATGATAAGTTGAAGTATGCAACAGAAAATGGTTACTATGCAATTCTTTCGGCGTGCTGGTATCTTGATTACATCTCGGCATCCGCCGAATGGATCACTTACTATCTGTGCGATCCTCAGGTCAGCAACTGTTTTTATTGTTATTGTCCATACCGCGGTGCCATGAATATCAGCTTCGTAGATGAGCCCTTCTTCGCCGATTCCCACCTGTTCCCGTTCGAAAGAGAAACTCGCAGCACGTTGAGGTCAGGATTTCATTCCAGCATCTTGCTAGAGCTCAGATCTGTATTTGAATAACTACTGTAAGTCGGAATTGCCCTGAGATAGTGTTTGAAAGGAGCTGCTGCTGGGCATTTGTTTAAATTCATTAGTACGTGTCGCAATTAGCAGTAAATAGTACAGTTCTATGAAAAATCGTATGTCCCTGTTATTTGTAAGTTGCCACAGAAGCATACGAAACCGTTCGGAGAAAAAGTCACTGTGTTAAAAACCCGGCGCTGTATTGGATCGGAAGGCTGTCAGGAGTCAGTGAACGCCCGTGTGGTACTGTCTAAGTAAATAAAGGCATAAATCAAAATTTTTGAAAGAAATTGGGCGAGTGAGATTGAATTTATGCTGTAGATGAACATGCGAGCAAACAGTCTGTTTCATCGTTTAATTGTAGGCAGACAGAGTAATTTGTGAAGTAGTAACGGGAATCATCAGTACAGCCTCTTATTCACCACATAGAGAATAAGCTTATTTTTTGGTGCAACTGGGTTGATAACGGTTTCTAAAAATAGAAGTAGGAGAAGACAAGATGGTGCAATCAAAAAGTAATACAAAAAATGGAAAAAATTTTAGCATTATTGCAATTGGAGTGTGACAAAAAAAGCACTTAGTACGGCGTCTGGATTTGTGTAGGCTTATCCGCAGCTGTTACCAGACATCGGGAT